AACTGTTCCCAAACCCAGGGCCTCCCCTTTACGAAAATATGGGCAAAGCATTTAATGCATATACATTGGGTTATGACCCCTGACTTTTACACAGAACGTCAAATATGTACTAAGTTTGTGGACCCTCCCATCATTTGTGTCCGGTTCTGCTGAAACTTCTGTGCCCATAATTCTACGAATTCTTGGGTTATGGACAAAATGTACGTGGAACAAAGTTTGTGGGCTTTCGTTTTTATATCAATAGCAAAACATTGTGGAATGTGGGCCTGCTTTTTCACGACTTCAATATCTTTTTTTGTGATTAAAATTCAATTGCCGTGCGACATTCCTTTAATGCAATTGATTACCGCAATAAAAGTGGACTTTTATATATTGAATATATAAAATAATATCGTTAATGAATGTCTTGAGTTCAAAGAATTTAGGCCTTATCTGATACAAGATTTTAATTGTAAGTATTTAACTAATTTTTTTAGAACCCAATACTCTTTCACAACAAATTAATTCTTCGGTAAATTCCACAAATTCTGCGCCAAATGATGAAATAACCGTACGTGCAAGATAATATAAATTGACACTATTTAAACAATTACATTCATTAGAAATTGTAACATAAATGTGAAAACAAAATTGCTCACGATCATAGTTCAATATAATAGGCTGCACCATCATAAAGACGCAAAGAATAGAAAGCGCTTCGCACTATATAGCGCGAGTTGCAGTGTTTACTTTTCACGTCATACAACTTCCAAGATGGCGGACTTATTACGTCGTTGTAAAAGACGTCATTGCTATTCTAGTCTATATTTCCATGGTTACAACCATAGGTATCCTAATGAACCATAATGGCTATAATTATGCACAATAAGATAGGCCTAATATGCATATATTATGTATCATTAACAAAGTTTCATTATTTAAAAAAATATATTTTCGTAACAAGTTTCGAAGAAAGTGTGATGGCGTGTATATTTGTGTGTATTATATATACGCTTTAATCTGCGCAGCAATTTTTACTGTAGGCCTATAGTGATTTTTTTATTTGTTGAATGAGTTGCTTATAAAGTTATCTCGGTGTTTTTGGCCTGTTTTGTGCCCACACTTCGTAGAGTAGTTGCAAGAAACTTATTTAATGGCGTGGAGGCGGTATGACGTCATTTTGGGGAAGTCATCGACGTCAAATTGATTAACCCAAAACAGCGTCTTTCTAATTCTTTTGACGATAAGCCGACAAGCTTTTAGTAGAACAGGCTAGCGAGCGAGCGTCTTACCCACTTAGCCACGTCGTGATCCCCACCAATGAACCAACGTGTGACAGATTTTGGGCATAGATCATTATCTTTTTAATTAATTTTTCGGGAATTGAAATAGCTTTGAATTGACAAATGGATAAAATAAGATCAATGTATATAGAAGCTGTTACTAACGAACGGAAAAACGCGTTTATATGGATGTCTAATTCTTTCACACCACGAATCCTTGCTTTGTGCCTTTGGCGATCGCAGGAGCCCGGCTTAGTAGATTAGTCATATAACCTGCTGTCTCGTTAGTCAAATCCTGAATAACGTGCCGAATTTACGTTGCAACCCACACCTCTTTGTCTAGATTCATGATAGAAAATAAAACTACACAATTGAAATCATGCTGTAATACATTGTTCATTAGGCTATATCGATTGCTGAGAGATACTTACAAATCAGATAGATGTATGTCGGAACATCACTGCGACACAACGTAAAGATTAAAATTCGGCAGATTAAAAACTTGTCCTATATTTAGGACAATAATAGTAAAGTCGATGAAACAAAATTGATTCATTTTGTAATTGATGTATATAATTATTATGCCCATAAAGTTTTGTTTTGCTTATATTTCATTTAAACTGAAGTTATGACATTTGAGTTAGTACATGATATATATTTTAATCCTAACAGTGACAATGCTTGACGTGCATATTTCGGACGATGTTAAATTTCTAACGGCTAAAACCATCCCATTATGTACTCAGATTTTACATTCGATTAAGACAACAGGATCAAAATACCATCGCAAGATACCCCCCCCCCCTCCCCGCGCCTACTTGGATTCAGTAGGAATAAAAACTGGCCCATTAATTTGGTTCACAACAAATAAAGATGGCGATTGTCTTGTAGGGTACCGCATAGGTTGCGGGAATTGAACCGTTATTGGGTTGGTTTCGTATTTTAAATAGATTCAACTTCAAAACATTATAATTTGCAGAAGATTCATCTAATGCGAGAATCACACTCCGTCTTCCATTGATATAAACAATCATAATATTCTTCTCTTTAAAAATAAGCGGACTGCTTTAATTTTCAATGGATTGAGTTTGGGTAGAAGGGTCGCGTAAGTTCTCCACGAAGGCGAAGGCTGTAACGTTACTACATAGTAACACTGTTAGAACCTTATCATAATATACTCTTCAAAAAAAGTAGGGGATATTGAAATGCAAATACCTATGCAGGTTGTGATATGATAAATAGTCATCGACACTTGACATGCTTTTTAGTCCGGCAGACCTATGACTGAACCTGGAAATTGTATACAAAGATTTTTTTATGATTGATTTTAGTAATCCCCTATAGCTCCCAGAGTATTTATTCTAGGATGATAATTTTAGTGTCTAACCGTATGTTTCTGGGGCCAAGGAATACACTGAAATCATTTATTATGTTGTGGGGTGATTAGATGATATTAAAATCAAACATGCCAGACAATATGACCCTTTAACTCGTTATCGGCGGTTGGGGGCGATTATTTCACCGAGCCAAACTAAATCTAGAGACAAACTATATATTTCCTGACATAGGAGCGTATGAGTGATAGGATAACACCAAATGCAGCTCTATCAGGGGCTCCAGGGCCACATGGGTCGGTCCTGAAAATTGAAACACAAGCTGATTGTTGAACATTTAAAAGAAACCTATTTCTAACCGCAAAACAGGAAAATAACTTCCACAAAACTAGGTAATATCCAGTTTAATACTTTAGTCGTGTTTCTGGCTGCAACCTGTGACAGAACAAGCGCAAAATATTGTATATTCTAAGCCATCCCTAGTGCAGCTACAAGCACACGTACTACATGAGCTGTCACTACTGCTTCCACATCTGGAGCAAGTTTACCGGTTGTAATGTTTTCAATTTGGTATCTTTCTCCCAGTAATACTGTTCCAGATCAAGTTTCGATGGATTCCGATCTTCCAGTGAACGCCACACAATAGCTTGGTGATGAGCTCTTTTTACGTTCTCGGCAAATGTATCATTCGTTGAGCAAGAATACATGGTTTGGGTGGAGAATAATGACGATACATTTCCAGTTTTAGATGTCCACACCCTCCAGCGTGTTTCAGACATAGATTTTTAGAACTCTGTTCATAAAAAAGCTGACATAAATACAGTGGCCTGTGTACCTGTGTGAGCAATGATTCTATTGGAGTGTCCATGGGGTGAGAGAGAATACAATCAAGCTCTAACCACTTTCAAAACTGTTGATTTCCACACGACGTAGCCGCATGTACCCGTGTCACATCCAGTAAGAGAATGAGCTGGCAGGATTTCAATGATAATTGACATGTGTTTCTCCGTAGTTTGACCAATGTCAACGGTTGTTCTTTCCTGGATTGGTGATTTTGGACCGAGCTCTTGCAAATCGATGACTTAAAACACGCTGGAAGGTATCATGCATCTAAAACTGGAAATGTATCGACATCATCCCAACCTAAACCATGTAGTCTAGCTCCAACGAATGATGCATTTGCAGTGAACATAAAAATACGACATCGCTAAGCTATTGAGTGGCGTTCACTGGAAGATCGGAATCCGTCGGAACTTGATCCGGAACTGTATTGCTGGGAGAAGGACACTAAATTGAAAACATCACAATCGGTAAACTTGGTCCGGAGTCTGCCATGTGGCTCATCAGATGTGGATGCAATAGTGACAGCTCATGTAGTACGTGTGCTTGTAGCTGCACCAGGGAGGGCTTAGAATATACAATATTTTGCGCTTGTGCTGTCACAGGTTGCAGCCAGAAACACGACTAAAGTATTAAACTGGATATTATCTAGTTTTGTGGAAGTTATGTTCCTGTTTTGCGGGTAGAATGTTTTTTTAAAATTTTCAACAATCAGCTTGTGCCTCCCTTTTCAGGACCGACCCATGAGGCCCTGAATGCCCTGATGGGGATGTTTGTGATGTTATCATATCACTCATACGCTCTTATGTCCAGAAATATATATATATATATCCTGATATAGTTTGGTTCGGTGAAATAATTGCCCCCAACCGCCGCTAACTAGTGAAAGGGCCATATTGTCTGGCATGTTTGGTTTTAATATCATCTAATCACCCCACAGCATAATACACGATTTCAGTGTATTCCTTGACCCCAAAAACATACGGTTAGACACCAAAATTATCATCCTAGAATAAATACTATGGGAGCTATAGGGGATTATTTGATGTGGCGGCCGTCTTGGACGCCATCTTGAATTTCTCTAAACGCCCAAGGGATGACCGAGGTTCACCCGGCAGATTCTGAAAGAGGACACCATAGGCTACTAAAATCAATCATAAAAAAAAACTTTGTATATAATTTTCAGGTTCACTCGAAAAATTGGGTTTGGCGACCGGACTATTTTAGAGCATGTTCACAGATGAAGAACTTATCGCCCCAACAGAACCACTGAGCTGCACAGGCGACACGCAATAACGCTATACACGAGGGGGGGGGGGGGTCATTGTCAAATTTGACACTTCAGGGAAGGGTTGATGAAAACTGCCGCTTGCTGGTTTATCCTATCCATGTTTGCTTTCCTACCGGTTCTTGCATAAGATTTACTGTTTAGCGTATCTTTGCTTTAGTGTGTTACGTTTAATTTGATCGGGAGATGTGTTCGTCGACGTCAACGTCAACCGACAACACCACACGAATGAGGTACCGGCAGAATTAAACCGGAAGCTAAGTGGCGCGCAAAGAAAGTAGGACACGGAAGTGTCAGTCTCGTCTGCTCTACGCTTCACTGACAATCATTTTCATTCTCACCGCCCGTTTTGGTTTTCTGTGTGAATTAAATAATGCCAGCTCATTGTTGCGTACCGATGTGTAATGGGAAAGGTGGGCATAAATTTCCGCTGGACCCTGTTGGGAGACGGCGATGGATTCAGGCCGTAAAAAGAGGAGAAAGTGACTGGACACCGTCTAAGTGGAGTATTGTTTGTCGATCGCATTTTGATTCTTCTAACTACATTTCCGAAACCAAAGAAAGTAAGTTGACAAAATACATTTTTATATTTTGACTTTTTTTAGGTATTAGATTGAGAAATATTTTCAATTAGATCTAGTCCAAAGTTTTAAGGATTACAATTTCGGCGTTCGCTGCAAAGAGGAACTAGAAATTTTAGGCCTATCAAAACGTGTCACTATTAATAGTATTAATACTAGGCCTATATTAGTATTTTATGACTAGGCTATACCAGGAGGGCCAAAGGACAGCTGCTGGTGGCAATCTACTCTTACTCTTACTTAGGCCTAAATAGAAAACAGATCTTGTGTATAGCCCTTGGTAAAATACTGTATATTTGCAATACTACAGCAATTAAGGCCTAGGAATGATTCTCATTCAATTAAAATTTAGCCTAAATTTAAGGCCAAATTAGGCATGCCTTGGTAAAACTAAAATGCTGTATATTTACAATACTACAACAAGGCCTAGGAATGATTCTCATTTAATTAAAATTTAGCCTATGGCTATGCCTATATATGAGTAAAAAAAAGTAAAAATTTTTTTGTACTAGACTACTGTTAAATCTACCGGTATTTGATTGTATTTTTAATATTAATTATTCCAGGGGATCAAATGGTCAATAGTATATTGAAGCCAGGAGCGATTCCACATTTATTTGCTTGGAAAAGAACAAGTTTATCAGGTAGTAGGCGCAGAGAAAGAGCCCTACATAAACAACAAAGTATTAACAAAATCGAGAGACTGGAAAGCTTGTCAACTTCTGAAAATGTAGGAAACGAAGTTGAAATAGAATACATCGAAGAGGACTTTACTCCTATCGAAGGTAGGTTTAATTTACAAAGTTTGGGTGCGATGACTAGTCTACGAGAAAAAAAAATGAAGGGAAATTCTTATGTTTTGTGAATGAAACATAGGATTTGTCTAATAATTACGGTACTTTGCTGAAAGACAGTTTTAAACTTATAGACCCGGTATTGTACAAATTACAATGCAAAGGACTCCTACTAAGTGGTACTACTACAAGCCCATGCCCCGGCCCATACCCCCTAATTTCTGATATTATGCTCGATAATAATTCTAAATTCATTTGGATAATAGCTACCCCCCCCCCCCACCAATGTCTTGAAATTGATGAAGCGACTCCCTACTGCTATTTAATATAAATTATGTCTGGATTCTTGCAGCGAAATATACCCATAATGGTATTAAACATAAACTATTCACTTTACGGATGACCAGGCCCTGACGAGTTGTAATAGTAGAACTCTGAAACTGAAAGCGATAATCCAACACCACCTGGCCTGAGTTACCCCATTACACCAAATTTCAGCCTCAGGACAGCCGTAGCGAAGCCACAAACCCTGAACAGACAAACATATATGCAACAGTCACAAATATTAATATAGCTATATACATGTACCCCTAATTGGCCTCCACGTTTAATAAAATATTATTGTTTAATGTTTGAAATTTACAAAAAAAAAACGTTTTTCTTTTCTTTCAGTTAAAAGTGAACCTGATACAAAAGACTCTGCTACTCAAGTTGATATGTCAATGCGCTTCTGTGCCCGAAAATACATGTTGAGTTCGGAGAAATTTCTATTTTATACTGGACTAGAAAGCTATGATGCTTTTATGTGTTTGTTTTACTCGTTTGGGCCAGTAGTTGATGAACTTAGGTATTTTTATGGGACAAAACCTAAGATGTCAACAGAGGACCAGTTTTTTCTGACTTTGGTTAAACTTAGACTTGGGAGGAGTAATTTTGAGTTGTCTGACACATTTGAAATATGTGAAAAATAGCTTATGAACATATTTATAACATGGATAAATTTCATGTATTTTCACTTTAAGGAAATTAACTGGTGGCCATCCAAAGACTTGGTAAAGTTTTACAGTCCTGCAGACTTTAAGTCTAAGTTTCAGACAACAAGGGTAGTAATTGATGGTACGGAAATACCAATACAAAGGCCAAAACAACCCATTATTCAGCAAGGCACATTTTCCACATATAAAAACAGAAATACGGTTAAGGTCCTTGTAGGTGTTACACCAGGGGGTCTTGTGAGTTATGTGTCCGATGCATTTGGTGGTGCAGCCAGTGATAGGCAGATATGCGAGAGAAGCTGTCTAATGAATTTATGTGAATCTGGTGACTGTCATGGCAGATAAGGGGTTTAATGTCCAAGATCTGTTCATACCGTCAAATGTGGAAATTAACATTCCAGAATTTTTAAAAAAAAAGAACAGGATGTCTGGACATTCAGTAGCAAATGATCGAAAAATAGCCAGCAAACGAGTGCACGTTGAACGAATTATCGGACTAGCCAAGACATTTAAAATATTGAAAAAACCTCTAAATAATACAGAATCAAATTTGTCAGATGCAATTATTTCAGTTTGTTTTTATTTATGTAATTTTAGACCAGCCATTGTCCACAATGATGCCTAAGTTGACGTGTATTGATCTTGTAACATTGGATAGAATAAAACATATTAACTCTGATATATTTTTATTTATTAAATAAATATTTATTCAAAATGGCATTCTTAAAATGTGAATCATAGAAACTTGAGAGTCTATTCAACATTTCCATAACAAATTCATGATCATAAAAGATGTCTATGATTTTTATGTCTGTCAAAGTAAAAACAATAAACTTGCACTGTCTCCTACCCGCACAAAACAACTGCCCTTGTATTTGATAGTAATAGTTATGGGTTTTTTTTAGGGTTAACTTCCCATCAGTTATGGTCAGATATGGAACCGTTTGTTCAGAAATTAAATAATTTCGTGCTGAGTACGGGCACTTTACCTCTACCAGAGTTTCATCGTCAATGACTCTATCTGGTGAGGCAGCAAGCATAGGGTGTGTCTCACTAACAAAAAGTCCACAACTCTTAGTTTTAGTGTTTGTCAATGTCTCAAAACTCTCCACTGCCACACTTTCATATTGTCTCCCATACATAGTTTGTTTAGTTTTTAGATTTACTGGGTGTAATAGACCCCTCAGTAGCATATCAATGTCTCTCTTTATAGTGGCCTTGCATATATTTCCAAAATTAGAAGATGTAATTCGTTTTCGTCTTTCTGCTGTCCACCTGTCACATGCACTTTGGTATTTGGTTTGCTGCTCAATTTCATAGATTTCAGCCTTTGAAATACAGGATACCTGAAATTACAGTAAATACAAGAAATTATTATCCGATTGACATTTAAACTTAAGATGCATTATTTAAGATATCAACTTAAAATTGGCATCGAGAGTTGATTATGGTCTTGTCATGTTAATAAATGTCTAATTAATAATTTATATATCATTTAAGGCCCCCAAAAGACCTGCAATAGGCAGATTTAGATATTACATAATGACTGTTTATAGAGGAACACTACAATAATAATCTAATCACTGTTACAGAGTCAAACCATTTGTGATCTTGAATAAAGTACAAGACTGTAATTTATCTTATAACAAATAACTGTTTTAAACTAAAATAAAACCTTTTCAGTCTTGAGAAAGTGATCCTCCATTGTCAGCTCCATGTAGTCATGGTCAGCTGCTAAGGCTCTTATGTTGGCTGATTCATACTTTTGTAGCACAGGCCACTTTGATTTTCCCTGAAACAGAAAAGGTTGTCATAGTACAGGATGATGGAGTTAATATTTCATTTTCATAATGACATAAATCACTCAAAAATCTAAAGATTAATCAAATATGAATTGAATTAGCTCACCTGCCAGTTAAGTACCATGTTTCTCAAGTTTTGTTCATTTTTTGAAGAATTCTTCCTATGCACTGGTCTTGGATCATAAATAGCAGGCTTCACATTTCCTCTGATTCCACTCAGGTTCCTTGTTTTCAATGGACTACCTTTCATGGGCTTACTTTTGTGAAATTTTTGTAAAACCTGAAATGAATGCAAATATCATTAATGAATTTCCTATAATGTTTATTCCAAGTTTGAATGTATCCTAAATATAATGGAATGTCACAAAAAATGTGTTTAACTTGTAATGTCAGCTTATCTAGACTCCCTAGGAGCTTTCATAATTATCTCAGTCAGTTAGTGGGGCTTACCTAGGGTGATGTTGCAGACCAGCGTTTCCTTATGGGAGAGTGGGGTTGGATGGCTGAATGGTTAGCGTGCGCGCGCTGTATCATAAAGTCTGTCATTGAGTCGACTGGCGTGGTTTCGAATCCCCGGTTGTACGTGGCAAGGAGTAGGGTTGCCTGTCCAACCTCGTGGGTTTTCTCCGGGTCCTCCGGTTTCCTCCCATTGCTAAAGACCCCTACGCGCAAGCGAATTATGTAAATAAAATTAAACCATATGTTAGTGCCAAAATGACCTAGTTTGTGTCGAGTGGACGTTAAACCCCATTTCTCTCCCTCTCTCCTTATGGGAGATGACACCAGGGCATTCGAGGATTAGACCTGCTGGCAGTTGGGCCTAGGGCTATAATTTTTATACTTATTGCTGTAGTACACATGGCTAGGTGTTAACTAGAATAACATTATAATTAAGGCAATATCAGTTATACATCCATGCCTTACACTAAAGTAAGATCAGTATTGGTATTGAAAAGCAAATTAATCAATAAAAATTAAAAAATATGACACATCCTGAATAGAGATAATATATATACCTGTGTGCATGTTACTTCTGTTAGAATGCTACCAGATGTGCAGTATTTTACAAGACCAAATAAAACACTTCCCACATGCTTACAATGAGCCAATGGTCCTTGTCCTACTGCACATTCACACTGAGTTTGCTGGATCACTGCATTCCTATCTATACTTATGTCCACTTTGTAGCTTGTTGATCTTTTCATTTCTGCCCAAACGTTCGAAGTTATATATGTTACATCATTTATGACTACACGCACATATCTTAGATACCTAAAATAAATACAAATGTATTGTAAAAATAAAGGATAAGTTTGTGTACAAAGAAGAAACTGAAAAGATGTCACAGACTGATCAGCAGTAATTATTCGCTTGGCGGCTACCATCACTGAGAGGGATGACATTGTGGCAAGTTAATTAGCTCTCAATATTAATTGCCGTGGCACTGCAAGAGGAGTGGGTCAGATTGCCCCAAATCGTGATTGGACGGTTGATTAGTAGCATGCTACGACGAATTGCTGAATGTCTCAGGATTGGTGGAGCAATTACTCATTATTAAGATAAAAAACAAAAACGTCCATTTTTACTTTTGACAGTTTATATGAGCCGTTTATGTTACACTGCTTACCTCTAATAAATACAGCAGTGCATTTCCGCAGTTTTGTATTGTTTCTGGATATCCCTACTTTTTTTGAAGAGTATATAAGATTCAATAAGAAAATTTCACTACCGGCAGGGGACACGCCTAATCAAAAACGTAAGTTGCGGTTCAGGCAGGGGCGTAAATGTGGGGGTCGCAAAATAGGTGCATCGGCGACTAAATGAATTAATGATGTAAACAAACAATGCCAATATAGAAAGGAAAAGTCCCAAATAAAGTATTTGCGTGAGTCCGTGTACCTAAATTACATAGGTCACGCTACTCACGAAACACTATAGTATAGAATAAATTTGTCATCTTGTCATGTTTGCAAAAATGTTTTTCACATTTATTCTGTTGTGCGTATGTTGCCATGTTGGTCTAGGAAATGTTTTCCCCCGAGCAGTGGCGGCGCCAGCCGTCGGTGGTTGAAGGGGCAAAGTCCACGGTTACGGGGACAAAGGGAGGAGCTTCAACTAGGGGTAGGTGGGGCTTCCCCAGAAAATTTTGAAAAACAAGTTGCCGGAAATGCAGCCTGGCAGTATTTCAGGCGCTGATCGTTGAGGTAAAGTGTCAATTGAACGGACTTGCGAACCTCAACGAAGCCCACTCACGAGCGTCAAAGTAGGGAGTCATTACGGAGGGTATTGGGGACCTCCCCCAGAAAATTTTGAAAAACAGACTGCCGGAAATGCTGTCTGATCGTTAAGATAAATAGATCTGACCAGATACCGTCCGTCGCCTGATCACTAGTTTATCCGACCAGAGAACAAAATGTCAAACGAACGGACTTCCGAATCTCAACGAATTTTCCTTGTGAGTGCCAAAGTACCGAGTCTTTGTGGGGGGGTATTTTGAAAAATAGACTGTCGGAAATGCTCTACAAGACGCAAGTCTATGACTGAGTGGGGATGTGGGATTTATTCACCGTAGAAGGAATTGATTACCGAAACATATCACTGCCCCCGAGGGAAGAAAATTGTCAAAGTAAGTGGTCACTGCAGTCGGTCTCAGATTAATGAATTAATGAGATAAACAAACAATGCCAAAATAGAAGGAAATATCGTAAATACTTAACCCGTGCATCTAAATTGCACACGTCACTCCATGCTACTCACGCAAAACTATAGTATATAATAACCTTGCCAATTTATGTTTAAAAAAAGTATTTCACTCTTATTCGGTTGTGAGTATGTTGGTCTAAGAACATTTTTATACGCCCACATTTTCATGTGGACGTATGTGGTCGCGCCTGTCCGTCCGTCCGTCCGTCCACAATTGTTTATGAACAGTCTACAGGTCACAATTTTTATCCGATTTCAATGAAACTTGAAA